TTAGAAGCATTCCATGTTCTTTCCGTGTGAGGGTCAGTTCCATTTTGCCTTCAGAGTCTCTGAGGGCCCCCAGCATGGTGAGGGCGGTGGGTGAACACTCTGCAAACACAGGCTGACTGCTTCTGCCACTCACTGTGAGGTGTCTTCAGATGCCTGATGCAGACTGGCAGGTTTGTAAGAAGACAAGGAGCTGATGTTTGCAGCGCACATCTGAGGGCACGAGAGGCGCAGTGTGAGGTCATGAGAGCCAATCTGTATTTCTGTCGCTTGCACACATAGCCGGTCGCTCGGATGTGATGGGAGGCTTGCCTGCTAACGTGGCAAATTCTCCCCCCTAGCAGGAGGACCTGAGTTTGCTGGCTGCCTGCAGTTGCAGAAACTAGTAGAACTCAAGGCATCCCGGGCACAGTTGTCAGCGAAGGAACAAAGGTGAAAGCAAATTCGTGATGAGAGAGGACCTTGTGCTTGGGGCCCCTTAAGAGCTTTTATCAAGAAAGAAGGGCATTGATGGTGGCCACAGCTGGGAGATGGGAGCCCTGTTCTGGGCCGCAGGAGACACACACTCACCTGTCTTTCTGCACTTGCTAGCCGATTACCTCATTCTGTCTGCTCTGGGTTACTTCCTGCTAACACCCTGGGGCATCTGGGGCTTAAAAGTTGTTTGTGAGTGGCAACTTGTCACAGCCACTGACAAATTGTGCAGGACCAATGGGATAGAGCCTTCTAACCTCTCTGCCTTCTGTGGAAGGGGGAGCAAAGACCTGCGCACACACACATACTCTCATATACACACACAACCACACTTTAATTTTCCTTCTTCCTCAAATCGGAGGTGCATCTTCAATATGTTACACTGAGGAGGACATAGCACTGGCTAAAAATGCATAAGCTCAATATAATTGTGAGAAAATATCAGGGCCAAACGGAGAGACACACCACAGAATACCTTGGCCAATACCATTAAAAGGAGTCAAGGTCATGAGTGACAAGGAAAGACAGAGGAACTGTCACAGATTGAACAGGTTGGAGGGACTCAGGAGGCATGGTAGCTAAAGGCAATGTGGAATCCTGGGTCAGAAAGAAAGGGCAAAATTAGGGGAAAAAAAATCTTGAAAATCAGCTAAAAGCATTGTGTGGATATTAATTTCTTGGTTTTGGTTGTTAAACTATAGAGATTTCAACTGTTGACATAGGGGAGGCTGGATACACTCTGCATGGAAGCTCTGTGTCCTGTTTGTGCAGCTGATTTGCAAATCTAAAATTATTTCAATATAAAATGTTTATAAAATTGGAGGGGAAGAGGATTGGTTAAAATAGAATTTACCTCATATCATTGCCATGAAGATGAATAAGACAGTATGCACTAAGTACTCTGCACAACGTCTGGTACATATTGAGTATTTCATAGCTATTATATTTAAAAGCAATTGGAAGTACAGGCTTAAAACACAGAAGTAAAGCAGGTGCTAAATCATTTGATTTACCCACTTGAAGCTGGTGCGGTTGGGTCTGTGCCTCTTGGACCCGTCGCTCATTTCATCCTTCAGGTGCAGTTAGGGGATTTCATTATTTTCAGGAGCCAATACTTATGAGATGAGGTGTTCAAGGCTTGAGTCTCTCCAGAAGCTAGGCTGGCTTACATGAGCTCAAGTCCACTTGTGGGATTCTTGATGTAAAATAAGTGTGCTAGAAGCTGACTTGGCATGGGTGCTTACAATAGTGAAAGTATTACTCTCTGCATAGGGTTCAAGGTGGCACTAATATTTCCCGCTTATGGCAATTGATTCCAATTTTCTCTTTTTCAATTTCTCGTTTTGATATTGTTCCTTTTAAAATAAGTGTGTCTATGTAATCATGATGCATTGACTTAAAGGAGTATGTTAGTATAATACTTAAAGTCCATGTAATAAAGGTATAATACTTAAAGTCCAAGTAATAAAGGTGATGATATGCGAAAGATCAAAGATTGAGAAACAAGGTTTTAAAATAAGGGGAAAGTTATCTTTGTTAACAATGAAATAGCTCCAACTGCGGGCATTTAAAAAACAGTAAGGGAGAGGTCGGGCGTGGTGGCTCATGTCTGTAATCCCAGCAATTTGGAAGGCTGAGGCAGGAGGATTGCTTGAACCCAGGAGTTCAAGACCTGCCTGGGCAACATAACGAGACCTTATCTCTACAAAAAATAAAAAAAATTAGCTGTACACACCTGTAGTCTCAGCTACTCAGGAGGCTGAGGCAGGAGGATCACCTGAGCCTAGGAAGTTGAGGCTGCAGTGAGCCGTAATCATACCACTGTACTCTAGCCTGGGTGACAGAGTGCCCTGACTCAAAAATAAAAAGATAAAAAATAAAAAATACTAAGGGAGAAACATCTTTAGGGCAATGAGGTAGGAGCTTACCCCTAACATTCTTAAACCAACTTTGCTTAGAATAAATGGGAATACAGGCTAAAGCAATTTTATTCTTTAAACACTTCAATTTTGTCCACTGTATGCATCAACAGCTAAATTAAAACATACAAGTTCAAAGTCCAATTTCAGGAGCAGCAACTGAGTATGGAAGGAGTAACTACTCTTAACAGCCACTCAATATTTGTTTCACAAGGATCAATTATATACCATGGCTAATGCATGTTTGCAGTGTGCGCCCAGCCACAGTGCAGGTGGTGAATGCAAAACGCACACCAAGAATCCTTTTAAGCAGCTAAATGCACACCCCATTACAGATCCATAATGCAGAATGGACGCTCATCTGCAAATGGATTTAGAGTGAAGAGTTCTTAAATGACCAGGGTACTTAGGTTTAAAAGGCCAGTAACTGGATGTGCAGTCAGAACCACATGGTTTTTAGGATTAATAATACATCGATGTGTGTCAGTGTTAATATACATTTACAGCTCACAGGCCGTGAAGTTGAGCGTTCAGCCCATTTGCAGCCACATAAAAAAAGGACCACTCTGTCCTTCCTCTCATTAATGCCTTCACTCCCAGGAAAATTAGATTACGCAAGGAAAGTCATTCATACAATGCTGAGTTTTTCCCTCCTTTAAAGCCTCCGCTAGGAAAAGCTCCTGGCATAGTGATGTGTGTGCTGTTCCCCTTGCTGGATCAGGGCCCCTCAGAGCCCAAGCAAGGCGCTGGGAGGAGCTTCAGGCTCCATTTTTCACCTTGCTGATATAGTCCCATGTCACTGGCAGAGTGTAGTAAACCTGACAGAGAGCCCAGAGAATTGTCTGGTGGCTTCTTGCTTTCTCTTCAAGTTCACCAACCCTTTCCCTGTACTGTGTGATAAAGATATAAGTGGTGTCATTTAGACATTAGTCTCATGCACATGTCACCAAATCCAGAACTTCAAGTTCAAAAAGCCCTGTTTGCTTATTGGTTCACATTAGAAATGATGGGACGCTCAGATCTTTAAAATATTGACACTATTTAAAAATACTATTTTGTTTTTCTAAGCAATTGTAGTGAAGGTGAGAAAAGGAGGGGGGATATTTGGCATTTTCAGAGGAGCTTTGTTAATACTTGCTTTTCAGAATGTCAAGGTGGGAGGGCCTTTTAATAAAGCATACATAGGCTGGGCTCGATGGCTTAGCCTGTAATCCCAGCACTTTGGGAGGCAAAGGTGAGTGGATTGTCTGAGCCTGCGGGTTTGAGACCAGCCTGGGCAACTTGGCGAGACCTTGTTTCTACAATAAATAAAAAATTAGCCAGGCGTGATAGCCCGCACCTATACTTCCAGCTACTTGGAAGGCTGAGGTGGAAGGATCGCTGGAGTCCAGCAGGTTGAGGCTGCAGGGGCCAGGAGTGTGCCACTGCACTCCAGTCTTCCAGTCTGGGCAACAGAGTGAGACTCCAACTCAAAATAAAATAAAATAAAATAAAGCACACATTAAAACAGTGGGAAGACTATTGAAATATATAAATAAATCAATAAAATACACATACATAAATAAGAAAAATCAAACTCTTTGAGGTCTTACAACATTCTCTGCTAAGAGATTTGAGTATAACCTCATCATGAACTTGGGAAGTCACGCCCTGCTTTTCCAGATGAGGAAACCAAGGTTCTGAAATGTTAAATCGCTCACTAAAGATCAGAGAGATACTCAGTGGCAGGGCTGGGACTGGAACCCAGGAGTGCCTGACTCTGCAACAAGAGCTTGTAACCTCCCTATCACTGTTTTCCAGCCTGGGATATGACCTACTGGTGGGTGGGGAATTGGTGTAGTGGGTCACAACTGGTATTACAAAAAATGAAATAGAATAGAATAGAAAAGAATATGGCGTAAAGATAAGTATCATTTTGTGAAAGTTTTGTTTCAATTTTATTTATGTAGACATATACGCCTGTGTATCTGTGTGTGTGTGTGTGTGAGAGACAAAGTGTGAGATGCCCCACCCTCTACTATACTTGCCTCTGATAGAGCTACTTGAAGGTCACACTCAAGGTCTCTGGCATGGTAGGTTTGCAGGCCCTAAATTTTCTGTTCTTGTGAAAGGCATTTTCTTTCTTACCTTTCCCCCAAGAATCCCAGGGCCCCAGCCATTCTGTGGAAAGCAGTCTAGATAAATTAATAATACAATTTAAAACCGATTCCACCAAGATAAATAGCGCTTCCTAGATTAAGTGTGTAGCTGGCCAGGATGAATGAAATTTACTAACCCTGAGATGCTTAATCTTCCATTACATAGAAGTTAATGATTATAAGAAAGGAGTGATGGTAATTCACTTCTGCTTTTACAGGAAATTCGACCATCTCATTTTTAGCAAATCTTTCTTCTCAGCACACCTCGATGCCAAGGACAACTGCTTTGCTCCTATAGGTATGTTGGCCAATTGCCATCTATCATTGCCACATATCAAAAGCGTAAGCCTTCTAGGATGCATAGGCTTACAAGATGTCCCCGTGGAATTTGTTGTGAAGGCTACTTGAGTGCCCCTCCTCTAAACCCCTCGGAGAAGCCTTTCCCAGTCATAGCAGGGATGTGGTGACATACCTTTAGCACAGTCTGCGCCTAGAAATCCTGGGAAGCAGTGACACAGTCCAGACACACATTCACCGTTCCCATGGCAGTTACGTGGACAGTCCTGCACTGAATCTGAAAAAAAGAAATTTAATAAATTACCTTTCCCTCCGTCTACTGGTGCTGCAGTTTAATAATCAGTCACTCACCATTTTTCAAAGACCAATGGTTGTAACCTTGAATGCTTATAGGCGACTGTTAGGGAACATAAACGAGTGAAGAAAAAAATAATGAGCGGTGGGGATTTGGACAGGGGATGGAAGTGACCACTACAATCCGTCAGATAAATCCAGGTAGGACTGTGGGGCTTGTGTTGGGGCTACTTTTTTTTTTTTTTGAATCGGAGTCTTTCTCTGCCATCCAGGCTGGGGTGCAGTGCCATGCTCATGGCTACTTGACCTGCTGGGCTCAGGTGATCCTTCTACTTCAGCCTTTCAAGTAGCTGGAACTCCAGACACGTGCCACCATGCCTGGCTAATTTTTTGATTTATTGTAGAAACGAGGTCTTGCCAAGTTGCACGGGTTGGTCTCGAATTCCCTGGGCTCAGGCAATCCTCTCACCTCCATCTTCCAAAGTACTGGGATTACAGACATGAGCCACCTCACCCAGTAACTTTTGCTATTTTGGAAGAAACTACCAATCTGGATTTAAAGACGTAAAAGCTCTCATGTTTAATATGGACACTTTTTAAACATCGTATCCCACCCCTGGTCATCCCACCTATTTGAGATTTGGTGTCACATGAAGATGTATTAGATATTATTGGTTGGTCACACAGATGTATGAGATTTTATTCTAGAACTGCTGGGAACAAAGGAAAAACAAATAGAGGAATGATATTCTCCATTTTTAGCCTCAGGTATACAGGGTGATTCTTCAAAATAGGAGCAGCTGTTTCTAATCTCAGGTTGATAGAGTGAAAGCATTCCCTGCCATAAGAATTCTGATTTATTTATTTATTTTTGAGTTGGAGTCTCACTCTGTCGCCCAGACTGGAGTGCAGTGGCATGCTCCCGGCCACCGCAGCCTCAACCTGCTGGACTCCAGCGAACCTTCTGTCTCAGCCTTTCAAGTAGCCGGAACTACAGGCATGTGCTACCACACCTGGCTAATTTTTTGATTTATTGTAGAGATGAGGTCTCACCAAGTTGCCCAGGCGGGTCTCGAACCCGCAGGCTCAGGCAATCCACTCACCTCAGCTTACCAAAGCGCGGGATTACAGGCTGAGCCACTAAGCCTGGCTAAGTATTCTGATTTAAAAACCCAAATACATAAGACTGATGAATTTAGGCACAGTTTTGGGGTTACGTAGTAGTTTGGGGCTATAAAAAAGTCCTCTTATGCTTCTGGGGATCTTCTTTTTCATGAAAATCAATTACTTCACATTTGCTCTAACCCACATAACCATCTTATCTCCTGATTTACCTTTCTGTGTGCACTCTCAAGTAATGCCTTCAAAGGGATCATTCTGGAACTTTTTCATGTTGGTTTGGGTTTGCACAGAAATAGTCATAGTTTTAAAAAATTACTATTATCCTAACTTTTGCCTTAAATTCAAATAAAACACATTTAGGCTTTCAGGTTCCAAATTACTAAGCTGATGAAAAGAAACTATGAAAAGATGAAAAGAACTATGCCTGCAATGTGACATCACACCCACTCTTGGTGAGCTGGGGACGTTGACTTGGTGGTATGGTATGAAAGACTGTAAAGCCTAGTTGTTCCTAATGGAGTCACCAGAGAGTGGTAAAGGGTGTGCTACCTTCACTCTAAATTTCCCATTTACTCTCACTTTGGATCAAAAGACCAGCCATGACATTTTGCTTTTTATTCTATAGTGTTGCCCTTCTTAGCTCTCTTCCTCCAGAATCAGACTGTAGTCAGTTTCTGGTGCTCCGAGGAAAACTCAATGACTGCATTTGCTTTTTAAAAATCAGGCAAAAGACTATAGACCCCGGCAAGCCAGTTTCTTTAATTCTTTTTTTTTTTTTTTTTTTGAGTTGGAGTCTCACTCGGTCACCCAGACTGGAGTGCAGTGGCTGCTCCCAGCCACCGCAGCCTCGCCTGCTGGGCTTCGGCATCCTTCCGCCTCAGCCTTCCGAGTAGCCGGAATTATAGGCATGCGCTACCACGCCCAGCTGATTTTTTTATTTATTGTAGAGATGAGATCTCGCTGTCCAGGCGGGTCTCGAACCCGTGGGCTCAGGCAATCCACTCACCTCAGCCTCCCAAAGGCGCGGGATTACAGGCTGAGCCACTGAGCCCGGCTCAGTTTCCTTAATTCTAACAATTAACATTTCAGGCTAAAACTCCTTGAGGTAGGCCGTGAGAATGTGGGGTGAGAAGCATCCACGTGGCGACCTATTTGTTTCATCTATTTATTACGAATTCAGAAAGCATTAGGTGCTTTTGTGGATTAAAACCCAGCAACTTCAGGTGGTACTGGGAGACCCTTCTTCCTGGGTTGCTCATGTTTCTGAATGTCATGAGTGCACAGGCCCTGACTGCCTTAGTTCTTAACTATCTTTTTTTCTTTTTGAGTTGGGGTCTCCCTCTGTCACCCAGGCTAAAGTGCAGTGGCATGATCACGGCTCACTGCAGCCTTGACCTCCTGTACATAGGCAACCTTTCCACCTCAGTCTTTCGTGTGGCTGGGACTACAGGCTTGCACCACCATGCCTGGCTAATTTTTAAATTTTTTTTTGTAGAGATGAGGTCTCACTCTGTTTCCCAGGCTGGTTTCAAACCTCAAGCAATCCTCCTGAACAGCCTTGGAAGACAGAGATAATGTCTCTCTCCTGAGGAAAGGGCAAGTTTACTTATTTATTATCTGGTGTAGTAGACAATGTTTCTCTCTAGAATAAAGAACAGGCCTGCTTGCTGCCCATTCTAAGACTCAGGTTCAGTAAGCTCAGGGTTTCTCTCTTCAGTGCAACCTACTACATGTGCAGTCACCACCTGTCCCTCTTCATGTATCCCGGGGAAACTGGGGTTTGAGGAGCCCACACACATGCACATATCCCAGATATTGCCTTTCTCTCAGTAAAAGAGCCCCTTGTCTCTGACCCAGAAGTCTTATGTCTTCTGATGGCATTCATGAAACTGTCAGGTTAACATGTAGTTTACTGACCAGGGTTGGTGGCTCAGCCTGTAATCCCAGCACTTTGGGAGACCAGCACGTGTGGATTGCCTGAGCCTGTGGGTTCAAGACTAGCCCCAGCAACATGGCAAGACCTCGTCTTTACAATAAATAAAAAATGAGCTGGGTGTGGTAGTGTGCGCCTGTAGCTCCAGGTACTTGGAAGTCTGAGGCAGAAGGATTGCTGTGGCCCAGCAGGTCGATGCTGGGGTGGCCATGAGCATGTCACTTTACTCCAACCTGGGTGACAGAGTGAGACTCCAACTAAAAAAACAAACTAAAACAACAACAACAAAAGAAATATGTTTGCTCGCAGTCAGAGTAAGATTTCAGATCTGTCACATTCTTAACATATGATTCAGTCTATTAACTGAGTGCTTATTATATACAAGGCACCATACAAGGCATTGGAGATATGATGGATAAGACAGACACAGTTTCTGACTTCATAAAACTTTGCACTGCCATAGAGAACACAAGCCCCCCCCCCACCAAAAAAAATCAGACAAATTAAATAAGTAAAAATTGTGATAAGTGCTTTGAAAGGAATAGAATGCTGGGGGGGGTAATGGGAGGAAACTATTTAGAGTAGATGGTCAAGGAGGGCCTCTCTATTCTATGCAAGTGATGCTGAAGGATGAGCTGAAACTTGCAAGTAAAAAGCTGGAAGAGGAGTATTCCAGGTAGGAGGAATAGCTTATGCAAAGGCCCATGGGTGTGCAAGGGTGGAACTGAATCCAATGTGGTTGGAGGGTAGTGAACAAGGGAGAGAGCAACACAAGCTGAGTTTGGAGTGACCCAGGATGGAGACAGATTATCCAGGGTCCTGTAGGCCATGAAGATGTATTGGATTTTATTCTAGAACTGCTGGGAACAAATAAAAAACTTAAATAGAGGAATGATATTCTCCAGCTTGCATTTTTTGAAGTCATTCCTACTGTGAGGTAGAGATTGCTTCTCACTGAGCATCTGGAGCTAGGGATGGTTTGGTGGAAACCCACACTTCTGAGGCCAAAGTCTCCTGTTCTCAACTTTACATCTTCAGGGACCAGACAGGGAAGACCCAGGGAACCACAGATCCGCAGGAAAGGCCTGAGTTCTCTGTATAGCCTTTGCGTGGCTGGAAGGCTTTGCCTGAGGTATTTGTCCAGGATTCTCAGGTTCTGGGTGTCTTCCTCACTTTCCTCAATCTGGATTTTGTACCAGTTCCTCTTTGGTCCTGTAATTCCTAGACTAGCCTTTTTGCATTTTCTGTCTTCTCACATCAAGTTCCCTGAGGAAGAGACCCAATCTGAACTGCTCACCGAGATATTTTCAATGCCTGGTATAAATCCAGTAGGTTCTTAAACAGTTGTTGGAGTGTGTTCATGTATGGGTGTTTGCCTAATAGTTGGACAGACATCTTGATGGAGCAATGATAGTAATTGGCCTGAAATTCAGGGGAAAGAGCAGTGTTTTATTTGGTTCAGAGGTTCTCGCAGCATACCTATCATCAGAACATTCTCCATCGAGAGCTGGCGGAGTGCTGCCAACCCCTGTGATCGGAAACAAAAGGAAGAATGTGAGCCAGGTGTCCGCCAGCGATCATCCTCAATACACCTTTGACTCTGGGGAGTCTTGGGTGTGTTTTGGAGAGAAGCAGCCTACTTTCAGAAATGAGTTTCCTCTCGAGGACAGCACAGCAGAGCGAACTTCTCGAAGCACGATGCTGGAAGAGGCCAGGAGAATCCAAAATAAACAGCAACTGTGATAAAGATAATTTTTCATTTAGTTTCCCCAGTATCTCATATTTAGAGGATTGCGACCGGTTTTTGAAGGGAAAACAATTATGACTGAAATATAAAAAAGACCACCCTTTGGTCCCCTTTCTCCGACATTCAAATGTTACTATTGAACTATCATGTTTTCCTTTTTGTCACCTTGATTTGAATTTCCTTGAGAAAAAAATGGCCAGAGACCAGAGTGAGTCCAGGCAACGGGATTTTCCTCGTGTGCAGGCCAGTTTCGTGCTTCGAGAATGTCGCTCTGCTGTGCTGTCCTCGAGAGGAAACTCATTTCTGAAAGTAGGTTGCTTCTCTCCAAAACACACCCAAGACTCCCCAGAGTCAAAGGTGTATTGAGTGTGATCACTGGCGGACACCCGGCTCACATTCTTTCTTTTGTTTCCGATCACAGGGGTTGGCAGCCTACCGCCAGCTCTCGATGGAGAATGTTCTGATGATAGGTATGCTGCGAGAACCTCTGAACCAAATAAAACACTGCTCTTTCCCCTGAATTTCAGGCCAATTACTATCATTGCTCCATCAAGATGTCTGCCCAACTATTAGACCGATTACCTTTGACTTTCTCTTTGAGCTACTGTCCAGCCTGGAGAAATCCTCTCGGGAGAATTGCTATTCCCAGCTCCACAGACGGGGGAGGGTAATGGCCCGGGGAAGGGTGTCTCACTACCACAACTGTGGACGCAGGAAGAGGAGGACAGAAGCCATTATTAGGTAAACTGGCCCCCAGAAAATTTGCTGTTTAGAGGAAAGGGGATTTATTTAGCTAGAATCCACAAAAAGCCGGTGGTAAACAGCACAGGCTCTACAAATTCTGAATTCTGACTTGACGGCTGACTGGCTGAGTGTGACATTGGCAAGTTGTTTAACTTCTCTCCATCTTGGCTTTGTCAACTGGAAAATGGAGAGAATAGTGACCATGTCTACTTTGGATGGCTACTTTATGGGTTCACTAAGCTAAAGGGACACAAAATGCACAGTACAGGGCCTGGCCCACAGTCAGCACTCTGTAAATCGCAGCGATTATTGTTAAGATTTTCACCGAAAAGACCCCAGCTGAGCTGGCTGGCGTGTGGGGTGTATGCTGTCAGATACATGTCAAGCCTTTTGAGTTTAAACACAAAGTGATAAAAAGGAAGTCATTTCTCATCATGTTCTTAAACTAAAAGATCTATAAAAATCTCAACATCTCAAACTAGTTCCAAATTTGTTTCTAGTGTCTTCCTTTTGTGAACTAGTCTCTACCCTTTTACTTTTCCCCCCCATTAATACTTAGCCTGATCCTGGAAATGTTCCTTCTATGGAATGCTTCTCCAGTGACTTTTATTATACAAAGTTAATGACATTACTTTAGGGGAGGGGTTGGCACACTTTTTTTGGAAAGGGACAGACAGTGACTATTTAGGCTTCTTGGACCATATGGGCTCTGTTGCAACTACTCAACTCTGCCGTTACAGTGGGAAAGCTGTCACAGACAATATGTAAACAGGTTAACAAGGCTGTGTTCCAATAAAACTTTATTCATAAAATCAGGCAGTGGGCCAGGTTCAGTCCATGGGCTGTAGTGTGCCAACTCCTGCTGTAGAGCATTTGGCTGGCCTTGATGGGGTCAATCTTTCCTTAGCAGAGGGAATAAGGATTGACTTCAATCCTACGGTCAACACCAAAACGATGTGATTTTACACCATTTAGAAGTTGAATTCCCACCTGAATTTCGGGCTGGATTACAAGGCTCTTTCAAAGAATCAGGGAGCCCCTCAGAAAAACCCATGGGCTCACAGAAAAATTCTGAAAATGTAATCAGTAGCAAAACAGCTGTATAAGATGTATTCCTAAAAACAATCATTGGCTCTCATGTAGTAACTACCAACTCCCTGCCAGACATGTTCTGTTCATCATGATATGCACATCACCCTTGGCTTCAAGGACGTGGTCGATACCTTTGCACAGATGATGAAACTAAGACTCAGGGAGATAAATGACTTGTCCAGGTAAGACATGGGAAAGAAAATCTGGCATTTGATCCTGGAGCTACCAGGCCTTTCCTCAAAACACCACCCTATCGAGGCTTCTCTGGTGAATCTTGAGATGCACAACTAAGTGCTGTTGGGACACACGGTGCTGTGCAAAGGCCATGGGCCAGGCCCAGAAGCCCATGCTATTTCTATCATTTCCACATCCTGGGACTTTGAGGAATTCAATTATCTTTTAGAACCTCAGTTTATTGCTCTGGGAAATGGGTCAAATAAGCTGCCCTGATTCACAAAGATTCTATCCAAGATCAATTATTAATATCTGCAGCTTCTTAGATTGTTAAAATTCTTAGAGTTTTCTGTAGAAAACTTTATGAAACCTCCTCAAGCTGGTGACCCTTTTAAGGGTTTGTATGGATGTAATACAAGAAAATTTTGGATAAAACCTTAGCTTTTTCTTTGATAGTTAATAAAAAATAGGGCTATGATATGCCCAAAATGACAAGTACTTAACTAAAGCGTTGTGAGCTTTACCTACCTGGGAATAAAGATATGATTTTTAAATGTCTGTATCCTTTCCTTGATTTATTAAGATTTCAGAAAACTGTTTATTTTGAGGTTTCCTTAATTTTAAAGAGCAATTCTGAGCTGAGGTGAATGGCCAGTATTTTTGACTCTGCTACATACTTAAAGACTTATGTATTTATTTTATTTAATCTTCACAACAGCCCTGTGAGGCAGGCACTAGCATAAGTTCTCTCTTACTATGAGGAAGCCAAGGCTTATAAAAGTCCAGTGATTTGCTCAAGCTGTGTGGTCAGGACTCAGTCCAGGAAGTCTGACCCACATTCTTAGCCACGATTAAATCCTTGGGATGAATGGTGGCTCTTTTATGGTTTAAAGCAGCATTTCTGATTTAATCAGAGCTAATTTTAGGTGGGTGGTACCATGAGGCCTAAAGGAAGCATCCTGGTCTGATCTGATCCACAGTAGAAACTGCCCTGAAGGTGTGTCTTCTAGAAAAGCCTAGAACATGCTCATCTTCCCTTCATGGCATGTCATCTCGGAGACCCCGCACCTACCTAAGACAACAGTGTTGAAGGAAACCATTTCCTTGTCTTTGCCATCATTGTAGAAGGCCAGGTGCCACAGGCCCACATCCAGGTACTGCACAAACACGGCTTCATTCTGCACCAGGGTCTGTATGCTCCGCCGTTCCCGGGGTGACTCCACCACACTCCACTTCTCCTTCCCGTCTAGACGTTCCATGAAGTCATACTGGGAAGAGGAGAGAGAGCACCATGCCTGAGTCAAGGGGCAGGTTGGGTCGCATGCCTGGTTCTCTCCCCTCCCACTCATTTGTTAATGGAGAAAGACCTTGTAGGACATTTGACTATGACCTCATCCAGTAAAACAAGAGCCACGAAAGTTGTAACAATAACAGGCATCATTTATTATGCTTATAATTATTGCTACTCGTTTTATTACTGTAGGCCATAATCTCTTGTCTGCAGTTCTGAAATCCAAAAGACTTTAATCCAAAGATTTTTTCTCTGTGTGTGTGTGTGTGTGTGTGTGTGTGAGAGATACGTGTTGTTGCTCTAGTATCCACTGGGATGTTATATAATACACAGCATGTGCCATGTATAATTTTTCTATCGAGGCTTCTCTGGTGAATCTTGAGATGCACAACTAAGTGCTGTTGGGACACACGGTGCTGTGCAAAGGCCATGGGCCAGGCCCAGAAGCCCATGCTATTTCTATCATTTCCACATCCTGGGACTTTGAGGAATTCAATTAGCTTTTAGAACCTCAGTTTATTGCTCTGGGAAATGGGTCAAATAAGCTGCCCTGATTCACAAAGATTCTATCCAAGATCAATTATTAATATCTGCAGCTTCTTAGATTGTTAAAATTCTCCAAATTCTGAATTCCAAAATATAACTTGGGCCCTGAAAGTTTCAGATAAGGAAACATGAACCTGTGTTACCAGTTACCGTTTATTGATCATTTACTAGAAGATGTCACAGCAGGGTGGTAAGATGAGTATTGTGGAGCCAGATTGCCCTCCACAGTCGGGTTGTGAGTCAAGAGAAGCTGAGAACATGCTCGTCTTCCCATCATGGCAAGTCATGGCTGTGGCACTTACTCGCTTCACCTGTCTGTGCCTCAGTTTCCCCACTGAGAAAACTATGAAAATAATAGTATCTAAGTTTTGGGTTGTTGTGAGGATTAAGATAATATTTAGGACAGTGCCTGGCACCCAGGAAACACAATATGCATGTCAGCCACTGTAATCATCATCTTCTTCTTCATTATTTTATTCAATTTTTGAAAAAAACCTATCTTAGTATTTATCTTGGTGCTATTTGTACCCATATTTTACAGATAAAGAAATTGAGGCTCAGAGATGTCAAGTGACTTGTCCAAAGTCACAAAGCTTCAAAGTGGTCAAGCAAGAATTTAGACACAGATCTGCTCAGCCTTCATGTCTGTGCCCTCACAATGACTGGCCTGGGATAAACCAGCAATTAAATGTTAAACTTTGTTTTGGCCAGGCTCGGTGGCTCAGGCTGTAATCCCAGCACACTGAAAGGCCAAGGCAAGTAAATTGCTGAGCGTTCGGGTTTGAGACCAGCCCGGGGAACTTGTTGAGACCTCGTCTCTACAATAAATAAAAAATGAGCAGGAAGTGGTAGCATGCGCTTGTAGTTCTGGTTACTTGGAAGGCTGAGATGGAAGGATCGCTGGAGCCCAGCAGGTCAACGCTGGGCTGGCCGTGAGCGTGCCACTGCACTCCAGCCTGGGTGACAGAGTGGGATGCTGACTCAAAAAAAATTTTTTTTTTAAACTTTGTTTCAATGGAAACCAGGTTCAGAATTGGAAGTGATTAGTGAAAGACAGGGTGGTCAACTAAGGCTAGCAGGATGAGGTCTTGAGGAGAGCGAGTGTGACCCAAGAGAGTTCTTATCCTGTGGCGGCAAGTGGGAGCCACTGAAGACTCTTGAGCAGTGACTGATGTGATGAAAGGGATGTTCTGAGGAATCAGTTCATAGGTGGGGTATGAGATATTCTGAAGGGGAGAACAGAAGGAATCAGGAAGTGATTAAAGAAACCCAAATGCGAGGTGATAAGGGTTTGATGAGGACAGTGAATGAGAAGAGAAGACAACTTTGGAGAAACATTTCTAAGGAAGAGATGACAGGGCTTGGCCATGGGCTAGACAGAGAAGATGAAGTTGAAGACAGAAAGGGCCCCAATGTTTCTTACTTGCTGACAAGAAAATCGATAAAATCCCAGTAGAAATGGACTAATCTTGTGAACTCTTGCAAACTCACTGCCTAGAAAAGCCACTTACACGCTGACTTCCAGGGAACATTCAAAGTGTAGGTTTTAGCCGATAAAAACCATCACTGTGGGATTAAGCCACCTCGCCACTTTCCCTTCCATAAAAAAGGCTTTTATAGGTTAGAGACATCAACTATAACCTCTTTCATGCACTTCATAGCACAAAACTCCAGGAATCTTCTAATGTGCCTTCCCCCGTCGTCAGAATTGCCAGTTTTTCCATCTGAAATGTGATCAGTGAAAACAAAAGACTCTGTAATCTTCAACACAAAGGCTTTGCCATCAGACAAAACCGGGTTTGAATTCTGACTCTGCGATTTGCTATTCTTTGATGTTGGGCGAATCTACCTTCTTGGTTTTCATACCCGGGAATAATAGTAGCACCTACCATTCGGGGAGGTTGTAAGGATGACATGAGATAATGCTTGGGGCAGTGCCTGGACGATAATAGCCGCTTTATTAAGTACCTGGTGACTATGAGTCACCTACTTGCAAATCATAATGATCATGGGAGAGAAGTGCATGGTTCTGTTTTAAATATGGGAGCTGGAGATGGCCACCGCTTAGAAGCTGTTTTCCCCGAATCTCAAGAAATGAGCGCTGGTGTTTAGCTTCCCTCCACCCCGTATCCCATTGGTCACGGCTGTCTTTGTGGGCTAAAATAAATGATTTGAAGCGATATGACAAAGCACTGCTGCTTTTGGACACCTTTCTAGCCAAAGCATTTGTTTCTTAGCAACCTCGTAAATGTCCAACTACAAAGACCCGTGTCTACAAATTGCTGTCAGCCAGAGGAATGACTGTAACTTCTTTGGTGCCGAGGTGAGAAGAATAGACTTTATTTGGGGTCCAAGTTATCACCCCCATGAGGAAGAGTTTGGGGAGGTGAGGACTTGTGTGGGGCCATCGCTCATGACTAATTCAGGCATCTGTCATCTCTTGCTGAACTAGCTGAACAGTCATGGGACGCAAAAATGGCTTAGGACTAGTGGCGGAGCTCACCGTCTGACCAAGCAAATGGCTCTAAGAAAAGGCATTTTTCAAAGGGGAGAGAAGACATCTATGCTGACTGGGTCCTCAGAGTCTGTCCACAGGAGTATGGGGAGCAGTTTTCATTTAAGGAAGAATCTGCTAGCCCGGGACTCTCAAATAAGATATCAGGACATTTGTATGACAGCACGTGTCTGATGTGTCTCAATCCTGTATTATACGTTTATCTATCTATCTATCTTTACCCATTTATTTATTTATTGAGTTGGGGGGGGTCTCATTCTGTTGCCCAGGCTGGAGTGCAGTGGCACAATTATGGTTCACTGCAGCCTCGACCTCCTGGGCTGAAGGGATCCTCCCTCTTCAGTATCCCGAGTGGCAGAGACTAGAAGCAAGTGCCACCATGACTGGTTAACTTTTTTATTTTTTATAGAAACAAGGTCTTGCTATATTTCCCAGTCTGGTCTCCAAATCCTGAGCTCAAGAGATCCTCCCACCTCCACTTCCCAAAGTGCTGGAATTACATGCATGAGCCACCACACCCAGCCTTTTAGTCATTTTCCAATAGAAATCCATAGGTTCCAAGAACTCCCTCATCCTGGATCTCTGGAAATTATGCTCATTTTTTTTTCCAGTTGTATTTTCACTCTGTCACCCAGGCTGTAGTGCAGTGGCATGATATGGCTCACCACAGCCTTGATCTCCTGGATTCAGGCAATCCTCCTGCTTCAGCCTCCCAAGTAGCTGGGACTACAGGCACGTGCCACCATGCCCGACTAATTTTTAAAATTTTTTTTGTAGAGATGAGGTCTCGCTATGTTGCCTAGGCTAGTTTCAAACTCTTGGGTTCAAGCTAACCTCTGGTCTTGGTCTCTCAAATTGCTGGGATTACAGGCACCTGCCCCCTTTGTACTCTTTTGTTCTTTTTCTTGTCTTCCTTCTGCTCCTCCCTTAACACTGTTCCTTAGTGACCTCTGTGGTAGAGCTTGCTCATCATTGGTCTAATCAGGACCTCACTCCTTCCCAGATTCTTTGCACCTAGAAGGGAGCATGTGCCAGTGTTCTTACCCCTGGAACATAAGCCTTGGACGAACTCCACATCTAGACCCTGTTCTCAAATGCTCTGTGCAAACTTCACCTTCTCTCCCTCCCTTTCCATCTGCCCCTGGAGGGTGGAGCCACTAAGTAACAGCGGTCAGAATTAGCCCCTGAAGGACAGCCTGAAATTATGGCATGAGCAAGCAATAAACGCTTATTAAATCAAGCCACTGAAATGCTGAGCCTTATTTGTTACTTTGGCATAGCCTTCACAGATGACCTCATGCTTCTTTCCTTTCCTTCCCGGTTCACTCCTCAAGTCATTTCCAGCATATTTTCCATTTCTTATAGGGTAGTAGGAGAGAATCACCCAGGAAAAAATAGCACCGTCTTCTGAGTTTCAACTGTCTTACGCGTAGGGTGTCTGCTTATCACAGGTGCACAAGAGTGTCCTGGTCTACACTTCTTGTTCCTCCTTTCTGTCTCAGGAGCAATGGATATGGTTACCCTTCTCCTAGATTCATATTCGCCACGTAGCATCGTTCACTGCTGCTATACCTTAGGGAAAGGTCAGAGGCTAGAAACGCAGGGTGGATCAACTGAGCCAACCTGGAGACTGGCTTCCAGGGCAGGGACCAGGTGAGAGACAGGTTTGCGAGGAGGCCGTCTGGTCCGGGGGAACCTCTGCTCTCTAGGATTCCTAGACTGCAGTCTGGCTGGTTTTCTTGGCAGATTGGCTGACCCTAGAAGGAGGCCACTTTCCAAAAAGCCCAGGTCCTGGCCAGAGACTCCTCTTCATGCCTCAGCACTGGGAGTTGATAACTCAGGCTTAGCACCGGGGCCATCTGAGTCCTCGGTTCCAGATGCCTTTGTGATCAACCCAGGGCCCAGGGATGCTTGGG